GTTTCGCCACCCTGTCCATCAGTCTGTCCGGCATTGTGACACTGCTTCTCCGATGACTCCAGACACCACTATGGACCAACAGGGCACACCCCCCCCACCCCCAAGTCCCGGCTACCCACGCACCGGGCAGAGATGGCAGGAGAGGTGCGCACGGTGCCCAGCTGTGGGATTAGCACAGCGCAGGAGCGTCACACAGCAGAGCCCAATTAGACCTCGCACACCGTCCTGCGCGTATGCACCTGCTCCAGCATTTGTCATCCCAGCGGACTGCCAGATGCCCGTCTCCCCACAAGGACCATGTCCTTCTTGTTTTTGTTTTTTTTTAAAAAAAAAAAAAAAAAGACTGTCAACCATCTCGGAACATCGTCAAAATTGCAGCCACGCTCCGGGCGCGGCCTGCCTGTGACGCCTTGCCACCTTTGACTGGCTTCCGACTCTCCGTTGTGTTGTCACCTGGCAGCGACACAGAGACACGATGCTCTGAACGTGACGATTGGCACCGCCAAGCGCACGGGCGTTGGTAGATGAAAGCACACAGTAGAATAGTGGAATCTGGCTAAAGACAGAAGGGATTATTATTGAACCACAAAGATAATATTCCCCTAGGCTTAGCTTTCGGTTGGCTTATTCCATAAAAGCACAGAAGAAATATAATGCAAGAGGGATTTAGCTGTGCAGGGAGTCTTGAAATGCATTTCAAAAAACGTGTTCTCCTAAGGAACAGAGGGGCAGAAGGAAGCTTTTTGGTGCACAAAACAAAGGTAACTATTGCCTCTGTTCAGCTCATCTCTCCCTCTCGGCTCCCCCACGTCTATTATCAGAACTGTATCGTTGCCCAGGCGCGGTGGCTCACGCCTGCAATCCCAGCACTCTGGGAGGCCGAGATGGGAGCATAGCTTGAGGTCAGGAGTTTGAGACCAGCTAGAGCAAGAGCAAGACCCTATATTTATTTAAAAAAATAGAAACAAATTAATTGGCCAACTAAAACCATACATAGGAAAAAAAATGAGCCGGGCATGGTGGCGCATGCCTGAAGTCCCAGCTACTCGGGAGGAGGCTGAGGCAGGAGGATCGCTTGAGCCCAGGAGTTGGAGGTTGCTGTGAGCGAGGCTGAAGCCACGGCACTCGTTCTAGCCTGGGCAATGGAGCAAGACTCCTGTCGTCAAAAAAAAAAAAAAAAAAAGAACTGTCAATTGCGGCAAATCTCAATTGGCAGGCCCGGCTCCGGGGCTGCGGCCTGCCGTGACCGGGCTGCGGCAGGGCACTTTGACTGGGCTCCCTCTCCGACCTCTGTGTCTGTCACTGGGCGAGCGACAGCAGAGAACGATGCTCTGAAGGCTTGACGATTGGCACAGGGCCAACCGCGCACGGGCGTTGTGTTTCGCCCAGCCCCGCTGTCGTCGTTGTCGCGCATTGGACACTGCTTCTGCGATGAGCTCCAGACACCCCTCCAGCTATGACAACAGGCCAAGCGCAGCACCCCCCCACCCCAAGTCGCGGCTAGCGGCGCACCGGCACGGGCAGAGATGGCAGGAGACGGTGCGGGGCGACGGTGGCCCAGCTGTGGATTACGGCACAAGCGGCAGGAGGCGTCCAGCAGCGAGCGCAATTAGAGCTCGCACGACCGTCCTGCGCTATGCAGGCCTGCTCCAGCATTTGTCATCCCAGCACTGCGATGCCCGTCTCCCCACAAGACCATGTCCTTCTTGTTTTGTGTTTCTTTTTTTGACAGATCTCACTCTTGTTTGTTCCAGGCTCAATGAGGTGCCGTGGGCGTCAGCCTCCGCTCAAACCAACCTCGCATGGGGCTAGTGATCCTGCTACTCCTGCGAGTACTGGGATACCACGGTGCTGCGCCACTGGCACGCATTTTTCTCTTACTAATTTTAGTTGGCACTTAATTTATTTCTATTTCTCCTCGTAAGTGGGTGCTGGCTTCTTGCCTCAGGCTGGTCCTCGAACTCGCTGACTTGACGATCCTCCACCCTTGGCCTCCCATGAGTGCTAGGATGACACGGTGTGAGGCAGCCCGCCGGCCGCATCTAAGTGATTGTTTAAATCTTCTCAACTACAATTGAAATTGCCTCGTTTGTCCTTGAACTCATGGCCCAAGACATGCAACCACAAACACTAATCCATACACGCGCCAGAGAAATTTCACTCAGATAAGACAGTACACAGTGCACCAGCAGCAATGAGAAAAACCAGCAACACCTTTTGTTCGCTGTCTTAAATCATACACACACATTTAAAAGTGTACGCAGAAAATAAAGAAATAATTCAGGATGAGTTTAGAAGTTTAAATAAGGCATCTAAATGAAACGCTCAATAATGAAGTTTTTAAACTCGCCGGTAGTCGCAATTAGCTTTCTTTTTTTATTTGTGTTTTTGTTTTTCATTGACGCATGTTTATTTAATTTATTTATTCTTCATTCTTCAAACGTTCATCTTCATTCATTCATCTATTCATTTTTGTTTGAGACGAGAGTCCTCCACTGTGTTCCCGGGCTAGAGTGCGCCTTCGGTGTCCCTCGGCTCAAGCAACGCTGCAATCCTGGCTTCAAGCCATCACCTGCCTCGAGCCTCCCAAGTAGCTGGGACTATAGGCATGCCCACCATGCTGGCTAATTTTTTTTTTTCTATTTTTAGTTTTGGCAGTTAATTCTTTTTATTATTTTTTTATTTAAATAAACAGCAGGTCGTCACTTCTTGCTTCAGGCTTGGTTTTTTCAAACTCCTGACCTTGAGTGGATCGCTCTGGCCTCAGCCCTCCCAGAGTGCCAAAGGATTACAGGCAACGACACCTTTGACCCGGCCTTGACTACATGTTTACAAACATCGGGGGCAGACATCTTCAAATACATGGCCTTACAAAGGAAAACAATTCCTTATAAGAGCACATAGACGAACACATCTTACCACCTTTACAATAAAAAGTCAATCAAAACTCAGGGCAGCTGCTATTTTTGCATGAATTATGAAAGATCCAAGGCCTATGGAAACACCTGGCTCTCTGCAAAGATTAGTTCAAATTGCGTAGGCCCGATTTGAATATCGCAACAATCAATAATTGAAATCAAGAACTACGACAGAAGCTGAGTTTTTAAGAACCGACTCCTTCGGGGCTCCTTTTTCAATTCGTATTGTGGCCCACTGTTCAAAAAACAAGAAATGTTCATTGAAAATCCCACAGATACAATGTAGAATACTTAACTATGATTACATGGAAATGAATTTAAACATTAAGCCCTGGAAGTATTTGAATTGAAGAGATACCCCAGTGAATCTCTGATGTAGCAGAATTCTAAGTCTCAGGTATACTTTTAACTAGTTACTGATATTCCACTAATGAAATCAGGAAAGAACAGTATATACCCTTTCTAAACCACCTTGTATGCTTGTGTCTTAGTAAATTACTCCTTGAAAAGACTGTGAAGCACCGTGGGCAGGAGTACGAGCCTCGCAGCATCCCAAGAATGGTTACCGCCAAGCTGGGCGCGAGTGGCTCCACACCTGTTAATCCTACACTCTGGAGGGCCAGCAGGAGAGCGCTCAAGGTCAGGAGTTCGAAACCAGCCTGAACAAGACCGACGACCGCGCTCCGCATTCTCTTTAAAATACAAAAACTTAATAGGCCAACTAAAATTATAGAGAAAAAATTAGCGGGCTGGTGGCCGCATGCCTGTATCCAGCTACCAGATTGAGGCGGAGATCGCTTAAGGTCAGCGATCGAAAACAGCGCCTGAACAAGTGAGATCATCTCTTAGCTAAATAAGGAAATTAATTGCTAACTAAAAATATACTACGAAAACTTAGCTGGGCATGGTTTGAGGCAATGCCTGTAGTCGCAGCTTACTTGGGAGGGCTGAGGCTGGGATCCCTTTGGAGCCCAACGGAGTGGTTGCTGTGAGCGAGCTGACCAGCGGCACCCTCTTATCTGGCCAAGAGTGAGACTGTTGTCTCACACACACAAAAAAAAGACAAGATTAAAAACGGCTATCTACCGCCAAGGATTCAACTTCTCCTCCGAAGCTAACAATGCGAAATAATGTTAATTTGGATAAAGGAAAATAGAAAAAAGCGAGAAACATTATAATAATATAACTTGGACTAATACCCTTCAAAGGAGCAAAAAGACAGATTTTAGTGTGTCAAGGCAAAAACCTCAGTTCTTGCCAGGCTCAGAACGGTTTGCTAACCAGAGAGGTTAAAGGATTCAAATAAAGAAGAAAATAACGGGCAGACAATAAATAAGGTAAAACGGAAACGTGAAGGTTGAGGAGTGAGGCCTGATTTGGCAACATGAGGACGCTGCTCAGCCACTCAAAGGGCCAAAGAGGAACATGCCATTTGCACTGAGAAAACCGCCTATGAACAGAGGCCTGGTCCTCTGGGTTTCTAGTGACCGGTCACTAATGACAACAGGACTGTCCTGTTATCTCCTTGCTGACTGGGTGCACACGTTCTCGGACTCTGGACTTGCAACACCCATCTTTTCTCATTTGGGGTAAAGGTTTAATGTCCATAGTTTTTCACTTTAAAACTTTGGCACTTATGATCATTTATAAGCAAACCAACAGAATGATTAAAATAAAGTTTTGTAAACAATCAATCAATGTTCATCTGAGAGCTCACCTTTTTTTTTTCTTTAGTTTTTTAAAATTAATTTATTTTTTTTTTCCATTTTTAGTTGGCCAATTAATTTCTTTCTATTTTTAGTAGGGACGGGGGTCTCGCTCTTGCTCATGCTTGTCTCGAACTCCTGAGCTCAAACGATCCACCCGTCTCGGCCTCCCAGAGTGCTAGGATTACAGGTTGAGCCACTGCGCCCGGCCTCACCTTATTATGGGCATGCATGTTATTTTACATTGCATACAAGTAGTAGTTACCTTAGACTAGAATAATTACTGTATTTTTTTTTTTTTTTTTTTGAGACAGAGTCTCACTTTCTTGCCCAGGCTAGAGTGAGTGCCGTGGCGTCAGCCTGGCTCACAGCAACCTCAATCTCCTGGGCTCAGCGATCCTCCTGCCTCAGCCTCCCTAGTAGCTGGGACTACAGGCATGCGCCACCATGCCCGGCTCATTTTTTTTGTATATATATTTTTAGTTAGTCAATTAATTTCTTTCTATATTTTGGTAGAGACGGGGTCTTGCTCAGGCTGGTTTTGAACTCCTGACCTCGAGCAATCCGCCCGCCTCGGCCTCCCAGAGTGCTAGGATTACAGGCGTGAGCCACCGCGCCCGGCTCAATTACTGTATGTTTATACAATGAAAAGCACTGGTATTTTGTGGCTGTCATAGGTGGAATTATGTCCCTCCAAAATTCATATACTGAAGCCCTAACTCCTGACACCTCAGAATGAGACTGTATTTGCAGACAGGGTCTTTATTTAAAGAGGTGATTGAGTTACAAAGAAGCCATTTGATGGAGCCTTGATCCAATGTGACTGGTGTCCTTATAAGAAGAGGACATTTGCCGGGCGTGGTGGCTCACGCCTGTAATCCTAGCACTTTGGGAGGCCGAGGCGGGCGGATTGCTCAAGGTCAGGAGTTCGAAACCAGCCTGAGCGAGACCCCGTCTCTACCAAATATAGAAATAAATTAATTGGCCAACTAAAAATATATATACAAAAAATTAGCCGGGCATGGTGGCACATGCCTGTAGTCCCAGCTACTCGGGAGGCTGAGGCAGGAGGATCGCTAAGCCCTGGAGATTGAGGTTGCTGTGAGCGAGGCTGACGCCACGGCACTCACTCTAGCCTGGTCAACAAGCGAGACTCTGTCTCAAAAAAAAAAAAAAATTGTATACATTATTTAAAAAGGCAAAAAAAAAAAAAGAAGAGGAGGAAATCTGGATGCCAGAGAGATACAGGGACGTGAACGCACAGAGCAAAAGGCCAGGTGAGGACACAGTGAGAAGGAGGCCACCTGCAAGCCTCGGAGAGAGGCCTCAGAAGAGATCAACCTTGCCCGCGCCTTGACCTTGACCTTGAACTTGCAGCCTCCAGAGCGGCGAGAAGAGAAACCTGCGTTGTTTAGCTGCCAGCTCCGTGGCGCTCTGTGGCGGCAGCCCTGGCACTGAGACTAACACAGCGACATTCCTCAGATAGCATGACGTCCTACAGAGATCTGCGTGTCCTGCCACCAGGCGGGACGTCCAGAGGACAAGCTCCTCCCTGAAACAGCAGCTCCCCGAGCTCCACCCTGCAGGACACGGTCAGGCAGAGTCCCGAGGCTGCAGAGGCAGCCCAGGGCACGCCGGAGGGAGAAAGCACTGGAAAAACCATCTTCTCCTGCACGTTTCTACTCCAGGGAAAGGGAAAAGAAGCCTGCGTTTTGCAGCTGGTTGTGAATTCCAGTCCTGCCACGTCCTGGCTGTGATCATCTTAGACAAGGGGCTGTAACATTTTGGGTCATTCATTTTATCATCTTTATTTATTTTGTTTATTTCTTTTGAGACAGAGTCTCACTCTGCCATCCTGGCTAGAGTGCCGTGGTGGTGTCAGCCTCGCTCACAGCAACCTCAAACTCCTGGGCTCAAGCGATCCTCCTGCCTCAGCCTCCTCCCGAGTAGCTGGGACTACAGGCATGCACCACCACGCCCGGCTCATTTTTTCTATATATTTTTAGATGTCTGGCTAACTTGTTTCTATTTTTAGTAGAGACAGGGTCTCGCTCTTGCTCAGGTTGGTCTCGAACTCCTGACCTCGGTCGATCCTCCCGCCTGGGCCTCCCAGAGTGCTAGGATGACAGGCGTGAGCCACCTCGCCTGGCCCAAGTCTGATATTTAAAGCTTGGGCCATAAGCTTGCAAAATTGTGACGCTGTCACCTAGACAATTAAAATTTCCAAATTTTCACACTAGAAAGACATTTAAAGATTGACTAAAGAGAAGGAAGAGAGAGAAGGGAAAAAAAAATCCATAAAATCATGTAAGAATTCTAATTTATTAGGGTTACTCAAATAACCACCAGCCACCGTCTACAGCAAAATAAAACCGTTTCTTGGCAGAGGTGGGCTTCTTGGCAAGCTGAGAAGTCAGGCTCCAGATCTTAAAAATTGCAATCCTGATTGTAGCATTGACAGGTGTTGAGTCACCGCCCGGACACAGTTCCTCTCTGAACCTCTGTCCCCTGTCTATCAGTGGGAGGAGCAATGACAGGCCCTACTGAAGGTCAACGACAAGCTCGTGGCTTTGGTAGTTTTTCTTTGGTAGCTACTTTCCCTGGCAGACAGCCAGGGCATTCTACCACGTGCTTTGCATTTGCAGCATCTGAGATAAGATCTCTCGAACTGTTCGTTCAAATCTGAGAATTACTGACAAGCCTTTTTAAAAAGACGGAAAACGAACTGGTGGATGAATAAGAGGGTCAAGAGAAGGAAAGGAATAAAGAAACACAGGGCGAGAAGGGCCTTCCCTGAGTATGTGTGTTGACTCATCGAAGATCCAAAGGGTACGTTAAGTCTTAGTCTCATACGAGAAAAAAAAAAAATATCAGAAACAACAGCAGCAAAAAGTGTTCCAATTCATACTCTACTAAGATTTGTGGACCTACTATGTACCAAGCGTTCAGCCCCATGCAGAATATTCCTTTATACACCTGCAGAAACTAAGGTTGAGATGTTAAGTGACCCGCCCTGGGTGACAGGGCCATGAATTGGGAGGAAGCTGTTCATGTTCCCATCTTTTTCCTCCAAAGTGGAGGGAAAATTAGTACATTCACAGTATTGTCTGTCCATTGCCCGTATTTATTAGCGGTTGGATCAGATCATTTGCATTTTACCGAACGTTCCTTTCTCTCCATCGGTTCTATATTCTTTTCCCATTCTTTATTCCCTTTCTAATCATGAACCTTCAGGCAACAAATGGCAATCCTTTCCCACGCTCACGCCCACCGTCGTTAACCTGACGATTAACTTCCAAGGTTGAGAGACGCATCTTTCAACATTTAATGCTTGCTCCTGTTTGATAAACATAAAAAAAAAAAACTCCATACACATCTCCTCCCTGAGATTCTGACCCTATTCCCCACCATCCAGACGGGATAGCCCACCCTCCACACGTCACTTGCACCAAACGTTTTATTCTTCATGGTTTGCACTCCTAAAACAAATTTCTCCATTATAAATTTATAATACGGGCAAACGTACACCTAACAAGTCATCACTTACCCCTGGAAAATCACTGGTTTAGAGAATCACTAGACTTAGTCTAAGCTAAGCATTCAAGCCTTATCCCCAAGCAAGTTGCCATGTCAGAGACTTATAAATACAACTACAGATAATGCGGCGAAGCCGAGCAAGGCATGCAGTAGGTGCTCAATAAATGATCACTGCCTGAACTGGGAAGCTAAGAAGGGGGTCAGAGAAGAATGAGCATGTAGCTGAGTGAGTTCCTTGACAAGCAACAATTACCAAAGTCAGCTAGTCAGACGGTACCCTACCCACATTTTCCACTTCTAGAATTTGAGTTTATGGCCATGAAAATGCCCTCTGTTGACAATAAATCTTGTCAAAGTAAACACAGAATGGACAAAACGAAATGACCTTTTAAAACGGCATGCACATTATAACCAAAGGAACTTGAGAAACACCCAATTCCGATCAGAGCCCGAAGAATATTTTTTGGGAATGAAATGCAAAGAAAGAAAAGAACGCAAACAGCTAAGAACTTACTGCAGAGTAATGCATGAGAGAAGGGCTGGGCCTTGAATGGCATCCACAGAAAGGCAGGGTATCTCTGTTCAGCACTGAAGATGTTCTAAAACTAAACATCGGCCTGATTTTTAAAGGGAATTACTCCTATAGTTGGGAAAAGCAATCTACTGTTTTAACCCCAGCCTAATAGAAATGTCTTGGAAACGTCAAACGCTGCTCTCGTTGAAGGACAGAAACTCCCGGGTTGCTATTTCCCTCTCCTGTGCCTAAACCCGAAAAATCTGTGAGGTTACAGCTCTCTTTCCTGCTGAGCCTAGTCGCTCCCAAACATAGGCACTCCAGGCGGCCGCCACGAATAAATCAGAGGTGGCTCATGAAATGACTTCCTATTTGAAATCCACGCATGCCGAACATCTCTCTGACCTAATGACTTAGTCTTAGCAAAGAGGGTGGCTCCTTACGCTGCCACCTACCTGGTTTGCAAGCTTAGTGGCATGCGTATCTGCCACTACATGTGCTTAGATTGGGGACCCAAGTCCTAGCTGCGCTTCTTCATATGTGGCCTTAGGGAGGTCACCTACCCACTGTGCCTCACTGGCATTTCTTTTTTTTTTGAGACTCTGTTGCCCAGGCTAAAGTGCCATGGCTGTCAGCCTCGCTCACAGCAACCTCCAACTCCTGGGCTCAAGCGATCCTCCTGCCTCAGCCTCCTCCCAAGTAGCTGGGACTACAGGCATGCACCACCATGCCCGGCTCATTTTTCTGTATATATTTAGTTGTCCAGCTAATTTCTTTGTATTTTTTTAGTAGAGACGGGGTCTCGTTCTTGCTCAGGCTGGTCTTGATCTCTTGACCTTGAGTGATCCACCCCCTCAGCCCGGAGTGCTGGGATTACAGGCCTGAGCCACCACGCCAGCCCCACTGGCATTCTTGAGAGTTTAATTAACAGGGAGTTCATCTCTGAAAGTCTCTTCAACACTACATAGACAAAAATTAAAACTTAGGTCTCTGGCCAGGCAGCTCACACCTGTAATCCTAGCACTCTGGGAGGCCGAGGCAGGTGGATTGCTCAAGGTCAAGAGTTCGAGACCAGCCTGAGCAAGAGTGAGACCCCCGTCTCTACTCAAAAATAGAAAGAAATTAATTGGCCAACTAAAACACATATAGAAAAAATTAACTGGCATGTGGGGCATGCCTGTAGTCCAGCACTCAGAAGGCTGAGGCAGGAGGATCGCTTGAGCCCAGGAGTTGGAGGTTGCTGTGAGCGAGGCTGACGTCACGGCACTCACTCTAGCCTGGGCAACAGAGTGAGACTCTGTCTCAAAAAAAAAACAACAAAAAAAAAACGTGGGGCCTTGTCAAGCTGAAAGTCAGATCCTAGACTGGAGATAATCCCATCGAGGTTAGACATTAGCTGGGCTGAGAGCAGCTAGCTGGCCCCCTTCCTTGGCATCTCTTTGGCTGTACTTTGAAGTAGTGAAGCAAGACAGACACGAGTGAGCACCTGGATGCCAATGCGTGCGATGTACCTTACCCCATCGTCACGTGGGGTGTAAATTCCAAAAGACACTGTGCTGTCTGGGAGAACAGTTCGATCATTTCAGAGACCTGAGAAAGAGGCAACACCCTCTGAAGACGATCATCTGCTCTAGGGAGAGTCTTCCAAGAAGGTCCGACAGTAGGAGGCAGCTAAGAAATCCACGGCGTGACCCAGCTCAGAATGTAGAGTCAGCAAGAAAAATTCCAGGCCCGGCGCGGTGGCTCACGCCTGTCATCCTAGCACTCTGGGAGGCTGAGGAGGGAGGATCGCTCAAGGTCAGGAGTTCGAAACCAGCCTGAGCAAGAGCGAGACCCTGTCTCTACTAAAAATAGAAGGAAATTAATTGGCCAACTGAAAATATATAGAAAAAATGATCCGGGCATGGTGGCGCATGCCTGTAGTCCCAGCTACTCGGGAGGCTGAGGCAGGAGGATCGCTTGAGCCCAGGAGTTGGAGGTTGCTGTGAGCGAGGCTGACGCCACGGCACTCTAGCCTGGGCAACAGAGTGAGACTCTGTCTCAAAAAAGAAAAGAAAATATGTACCTTTCAATATTCTTTGAGTCATAAAAATAAATAAATAAAAATTAAAAAAGAAAAAAAAGAAAAGGGAAGTTCCAGACTGAGAAACAGCTCCTAAGTAAAAATGACAGAACTTTAGATACAGGAGGTGAGAGTCAAATGTAAGTTTGAAGACTAGGCAGAGAAACAGCCATAAAGAGAAAGTTCAGCGAGCATGCAGGGGAAAACAGGAGGGTTAGTAGGTAGCAGCCACGTATACCTGGGAGCCATCCCATTAGGTCAAGAAGAAAAGCAGAGAAAGCCATGTCCCCAGGGCACATAGAAAACAAGGACAGAAAATAGGAGCCCACTTTAAAAGCCACTGTGGAATGCTGGCATCTAAGTAATCATATTGTATTGTTCTTTTAATAGCAGCAAACCGTTTTATAGCACCTAATGCACAGATACTCTTCTAAGGTGCTTGATGTACGTTAACTCATTCAAACAAAGCTATGGGAATAGATGTTATCTATCCCATTTTATAGATAACGAAAATGGGGCACAAAAAGTAGGTGACCTCCCCTAAGGTCACATCTAGAGAAACAGCGCTGGGGTTTTGGTACCAAATCTAAGCAACCCTGTTTCCAGCATTTGGACCCCCAGCCACTTAAGGCAGCTCGGTGGCGTCTTCTCAGTGAAGACCAATGTTTCCAACACTTAATCCAAATAAACCACTGAGCTTCCCTTGAGTCTCAGTTTCCCTATCTGTAAAAGAGGGATGGCACTTGCCCTCCCTGCCTTAAGAGGCCTTCTGACACCTCACAAAACCGTGCGTAAGGACCAGCTGCAGGTGGCCCCTACCAGGCCCGCTTTTATCTCACACCTGGCTTTGCAGAATTTGGAAACAGGAGTGGCAGGGAGATGTGAGGTCAAAGAACACATGGCTTTTCAACGGCATTTCCAGTGCCGTCGCTTAGATAAAATTTCCATGACTCCACTAAAATGAAATCAGATTTCTTTCTGCCACCCAGCGATTGGTCTCTTATCTTGGGCATAAAGCAGACTACGGATGCCTTAGTACGACCTGGTGCTGCAAAAACTAAGGAGAAGAGAAGTGACAGCAAAATGCATAATAAACACATCCACTGGTAGAAACGGGGTCGCATGGTTATTCTAATCAATAAAATAATAAGGATGACAGATCTTGGGCAGGAGGAGTGGTTTTGCTTTTAAGCAGAAGAACAAGAGGGGGTGGCCCAGGGGTCTCAGGCCGGATCACTCCAGCTCCGCAGAAGGGGAAACTGAGGCACTGTCTTCGTGCAACCTCGGACCAGAACCAGAAACACACACACACACCTGCCCCCAGACCTCTGACCTTGACCCCCGGACCCTCTGCGCCCACCGCCCCTGGGGTGTCCCTAAGCCCCCCCAGGAAGTGCGCGCCCCCAGACACACTCACCTCCAGAGTCTTCACCAGGACCCTCATGTACGCCTCCGAGATGCCCAGCGACACGCCGAGCGCCGACGGCAGCAGGATGAGGCCGAGCACCAGCGTCAGCCAGGTGGAGAGGACCTTCCCGGCCAGCTCCGCGCCCTCCATGGCTCGGACAGGCCCGCGGGGTCCCTGTCCCCGGGCAGGTGGGGCCCGCGCAGTCGCTGTCGCCACCCGCGCGCACCTCTGCGGCGGGGTGGGGGCTGGCGGGGAGGTGGACCTGGAGTCCCGTGGGGGTGGGGGTGGGGGGGAGGCGGGGACTGGAGGTCCCGCGTGGGGTGGGTGGTGAGGCGGATCTGGAGTCCCCGTGGGGTGGGGTGCCGGGGGAGGCAGGGACCCGGAGTCGTGGGGTGGTGGCGGGGAGGTCCGGGACCTGGAGTCCCCGTGGGGTGGGGTGCCGGGAGGCGGACTGGAGTCCCCGGGTGGGGGTGTGGGGAGCGGGGACTGGAGTCCCCGTGGGGTGGTGGCGGGGAGGCGGGACTGGAGTCCCCGTGGGTGGCGGGAGGCGGGACTGGAGTCCCCGTGGGGTGGGGTGGCGGGGAGGCCGGGACTGGATCCCCGTGGTGGTGGGGTGCGGGGAGGCGGGGACACTGCGGAGTCCTGGGGGGTGGCGGGGAGGCGGGACTGGGAGTCCCCCGTGGGGCGTGTGGTGGCGGGGGGAGGCGGGACTGGAGTCCCCGTGGGTGGGTGTGGGTGGCGGGAGGCGGGGAATGAGTCCCGTGGGGTGGTGCGGGTGGAGAGGCGGAGACTTGGGTCCCCGTGGGGTGGGGTGGTGGGAGGCGGGGACTGGAGTCCCCTGTGGGGGTGGGTGGCGGGGAGGCCGGACTGGGAGTCCCGTGGGGTGGGGTGGCCGGGAGGCGACTGGGAGTCCCCGTGGGGTGGGGGGGGGAGGCGGGGACTGGAGTCCCCGTGGGGTGGGTGGCGCGGGGCGAGGCGGGGACTGGAGTCCCGTGGGGTTGGGGTGGCGGGGAAGGCGGGACTGGAGTCCCGTGGGGTGGGTGGCGGGAGGCGTGGACTGGAGTCCCGGGGGTGGGTGGCGGGGAGGCGGGGGACGATCCCTTCAGTGGGGGGTGGGGTGGGGTGGCGGGGAGGCGGTGACCTGACCTCCCGTGGGGTGGTGCGGGGAGGGGACTGGATCGTGGGGTGGGGTGGCGGGGTGGCGGCTGGAGTCCCCGTGGGGGGGTTGGGTGGGCGGGGAGGCGGGAACACCCTGATCCCCCGTGGGTGGGTGGGGTGGCGGGAAGGCGGAGACTGGAGTCCCCCGTGGGGGTGGGGTGGGAGGCGGGGGGACTGGAGTCCGTGGGGTGGTGTGGCGCGGGAGGCGGGACCTGGCGTCCCCTGGGGTGGGTGGGGGCGAGGCGGGACTGGAGTCCCCGTGGGTGGGTGGCCGGGGAGGGCCGGCGGAGTCCGCCGTGGGTGGGGTGCGCGGGAGGGGCGCGGGACTGGAGTCCCCGTGGGCGATGGGTGTGGCGGGAGGCGGGACTGGAGTCCCCGTGGGGTGGTGTGGATGGCATGGGGAGGGCGGGACTGAGTCCCGTGGGGTGGGGTGGCGGGGAGGGCGGGACTGAGTCCCCGTGGGTGGCCGTGGAGATGGCCTGGGGGGCGGGGACCTGGAGTCCCCGTGGGTGGGGGGGCGGGAGGCGGGACCTGGAGTCCCCCGTGGGGTGGGTGGGCCGGGGAGGCGGACTGGAGTCCCCGTGGGGTGGGGTGCGGGGAGGCGGGACTGGGGGAGTCCGTGGGTGTGTGGACTGGCCGGGAGGCGGGGACTGAAGTCCCCGTGGGTGGGGTGGGGAGCGGGACTGGAGTCCCCGTGGGGTGGGGTGGGGGGGAGGCGGGACTGGAGTCCCCGTGGGTGGGGTGGAAGGAGGCGGGGGAACGAGTCACCGTTGGGTGGGGTGGCGGGGAGGCGGGACTGGAGTCCCCGTGGGGGTGGGGTGGCGGGGAGGCGGGACTGGAGTCCCCGTGGGGTTGGTGTGGGGTGGGGGGTGGCCGGGAGCGGGGATGGAGTCCGTGGGCTGGGGGCGGGAGGGGACTGGAGTCCCCGTTGGGGTGGGGTGGCGGGGAGGCGGGACTGGAGTCCCCGTGGGGTGGGTGGGGTGGGCGGGGGGCGGGACTGAAGTCCCGTGGGCGTGGGTGGCGGGACTGGAGTCCGTAGGGGGGGTGGGAGCGGGACTGGAGTCCGTGGGGGTTGGGGAGGTGGGGGAGGCGGACTGGGAGTCCCGTGGGTGGGGTGGGGGTGGCGGGAGGCGGGACCTGGAGTCGTGGGTGGGGTGGCGGGGACTGGAGTCCCCGTGGGTGGGTGCCGGGGACTGTCGTGGGTGGGGTGGGACGGACATGGAGTCCGTGGGTAGGGGGTGCGGGAGGCGGGACTGGAGATCCCCGTGTGGGGGGGGTGGCGGGGGAAGCGGACTGAGTCCGTGGGGTGGGGTGGCGGGCGAGGGCTGAGTCCCGTGGGTGGGGGGGTGGCGGGGAGGCGGGACTGGAGTCCCCGTGGGTGGGGTGGGAGCGGGGACTGGAGTGACCGGGGTGCGGTGGCGGGGAGGCGGACTTGGAGCCCCGTGGGGTGGGGTGGCGGAAGGCGGGGCGCGACTGGATCCGTGGGGTGGCGGTGGCGGAGGCGGGACTGGAGTCCCGTGGGTGGGGGGGAGGCGGGCGATGGCTCGCTCTCAAAAGGGCGAGTGGCGGGGCTGCGGGCGGATTCCTGCTCGGGGGCCTCGGTGAGTCACCGCCGCCGCTTGTTGTCGCAACCGCCACCGCCTGGGGCGCAGCAGGCACCCTCCGCCCCACCAGCCCGGCTTGTCCCCGCCAGCCCAGCCCAGGTCCCCGGGAGTCCTCCGGGAAGCAAGGAAGGACATTGTCGTAGTTTTGAAAGTTTTTTTTTCCCTTCCTCTCCCA